GTGGTAGATAATATATAGAGAGAAAAATTTAAAAGATATAGCTGGACTTTAAAACAAGATTAGTATCTCTGTGGACTGGCAATGGAAAAGAAAAAAAATAAGCAGAGGGAGTCATGGCAAGAAGTTAGCTAAGACTGTGAGCTTTTGGACCCTGCAGAGATTAAACTCCTCCTTCCAAGGTAAAGGTCCAGGACCAGGATTACTATTGGAAATTGGGGCCCTACATAAGCACATTTGAAGCAACATATACACATATAAGTATACATACACATATACATACTTTATATAATCAAAACCAGTTTGACTTCGGTGGGGGATTATAGTTTATCTGTAGGCCTAATTCGTAGAACCTGAGAAACGGGAGAGTGCAGTAGGTAGGAGCATTATAGGTTTGAAACCAGGATCCAATCCTGCCCACTGTCTAGTGATACAATTAGCAGTATTTCAGTATCACTCAATGAAGACCTGGTTACTGGGAGCTGCCACGAACTATCGATAGTGATGAGTTTAGAAAGAGAAGTAAACTTAAATGAAATGCGTACACATACAACATCCCTTTTAAATTGTGTCTGCAAAGTAGAATCTAAAGCACTAAAGAAGTGAGATTACTACCCCACCCTCGTTAACCATGTGACTGTAAAATGACACAACATGACAACAGTGAAGATGGCTCACTCTTGCTGGGTGTGGTGGTGTATGCCTGTGCCAGCCTGGACTACATGATGGCAGAGGGAGAGGAGTGGTGTGGAGGTGGAGGAGCAAGTGAGTGAGCATGTGAGCTGCTGTTACTAGGTGTAAACTTCAGGGCTTATTTGGGGGTATGTTTGAGCGATTTCAGAAGAAGACAATGGAGGAAATCACAGAGAAGTAATATTTGAAGCTATGATAGCTGAGAACCTTCTAGAATTGGAGGATATGAGTCCTTAAAGAAATGGTCTCTCAAGGGAAGTTTTAGACATCTGGGAAGGAAAGAAAGGCCCACATAGAGCAATTGGTATTCTTTACAACTCAGCTTTGAGAAGCCCTGGCTGATTAAAATGAGCCTTTTCTGTTTTTCACTGGAAGATACACAAACAGAAATTCCATGTATTGTATACACCAAACCATGTTTCCTGAACAAAGATACTTATAAATAACTCACAAAAGGAGAGCCTTGTGGACAATTAGACCTTCAAGATCAAGATACCAAGCCAGATCTTGCTAGAAAAGGTAGTCTCCTGGGAGTACCTTCATGAAAAGTAGATTGGAAGACAGTAATGATTTGTTGTATGATCCTGAAGGCTGTGTCTAAAAACAATGTTTTCAAAAGAAACATCATGGGTGACCAAGTCTGGTTGAAAGATATAACTTGAAAAAGAATTTAAATAAAAAATATTGTCAGTTGGAGCATTTCAGTGAACGTAAGTTTCCTATTAGCAAGTAACTACAAGGGAACAAAAATAGTTTCAGTAAAATGAGACCTTGCAAACATTGGATGCTGATTCAAGTTCACAGAAACATTTAGCTGATTGCATGGTAGGTGGTCAGAAATTGGATTTAATTAATATGGACAACTACATGCATTAGCTCTCACCCAGAGGATCAGTGTGCAGAATCTGGCTGAAGGTAAATTTACTTTGATAAAGCTCTTATTACTTTTATCAAAGCGGATTGCTGTGAAACAAACTGCAAAAACAACTATCCTTGAAGGTTGATAATGATAGAATTTCAATCAATACGGATTCTGTTCCTGTAAATGAAAAAGATCATTGATTGATTTTTTGCATGACTTTAAATAAATTCCTATAAAGCTTATCATGTTAGGTAGAGGGTACAGCATAAGAAAAGAAAGAAAGAAAAACAACAATAAACCAACAATGTATTGGCTTTCATTTCTGCCTCATTGTGGAGATCCAGCATTTTGAAATGGAACATTTTGGAAGATATATTCCCTGTGGAATGTTTTTTCCCTAGCAGGAAACCTGATCATGAGGTTTTCAGACTGGACATTGGGAAAACTCTTCTTGACTCCTTGTCACCTACATATCATGTCTCTCTTCTTAGCTCTAGATCTCCGACATTTGTTAATAGGAATTTGCCTCGCCTGATGAGATATCTATGAGCACCTGAAATCTGTCATCTTACTTTAGTACTTAAAGAAACTGGAAAAAAAGATTTCAAGAGTTCAAATCAATAACTGGGTATCAAATATCAGGAGTATCCTCAACTAGAATTGTATTCTAAGTAAATCTTAAAGCATTCGGGATTCCTGCATGCCCTAATACTATTTATATTTCTTTGACAGTAATCAAGTATAAGGAGGAAAATGTGGAATAGCCATAGATAGGCTCACATGCAATTAAACTCATGGCAATAGGCTTTAATAGGAAAAAATGTGTATTACACACATTAAAATCCAGTAAAGAAAGTCAAGGCCCCCAAATAAAATGAATTGCAACTGAATTAAAAGGAGAAACTAACAAACCCATTTGACTTCAGCATTCCTCTTAAAAAATTGATAGCAGTAAAGAATCAGAAATTATTAAGGATGTATATGACTTTAACAACAAAATTAATGCACTATGTATTTAAAGACTACCATTCATGTGAGAAAATAGCCACTTTACAATGCTCAATGAACATTTTTAGAATATTACTGTGAACCAGATCACAAAAAGAATTATTGCTAAGTTTCACAGAATTGTATCATACGGGTGTTCTTTGATTTAAATGCAAATAAATTAGAAATGTGCACTGAAAAGGTAAGTGAAAATGGAAATGTAAAAACTGCTCTGCTAACTGACTGCATTAAATAGAAAAAACAATAGATTACAAAGTACAAGAAACTGAATTCAATCAAGTCATATATGTGCAAAATTTTTGTATACAACTAAAATGTTTCCAAGAAAATCTACAATCCTAAATGTATTTATTTTAAAAAGTTATAGGGCAAGGAATATAGCTCAGTGGCATAGAGCCTGTCTGGCAAGTGCAAGGTCATGAGTTCAATTCCTGATACATCCCCCAAAAAAGTTAAAGATAAAAATAATTTGGGCATTCATCTGCAAGAATAAAAAAGAAAACACATTAAAATATAAAACATTAATACACATAAAGTGAAACTAGTATGTGGAGACTCAATTATATGAACTTGGTTCTTTTCAGTTCATAAATTCAATATAATTCAGAACCAGAATTTCAACAAGGGTTTTTATGAAATATCAAAATTGGTTACTAAAATCATAGTGAAGATCAAAGACATCAAAATAGTGAAGACAATTTTAAGAACCATACCAGTTGATTACATTTATATGGACCAATGGAGTAGAATAGCTCAAGATATACAGTGGTGTATTTGTGGGCACTCTATGTATTGCAGAGGCACTGTTGGAAGTCAGTGGGAAGTAGATGGACTGTGCATTAATGGAGTTGGCTTATTCATTTATCCACAAGGGAGAAGTAAAATTAGACCGTATACTCACATTAAGCACAAAAATAGAATGCAGGAGTATTGAAGTCCTGAATGTAAAAAGCAAAATTTTAAACTTTAAATTGTAGGGGTGGGAAGATTCACTTAAAACATAAAATGCAGGAAACATAGGGAAATATGTTGAAATTTAAATTGTTTGTATCACAGGATGCCATGAACAAAGTAAACCACAGTAAGGTAAGAGCAGCAGATATTTGCCATGTGCATAACTCACAAAGGATAATAAGCATTGGGAATATAACAAGAACATTAATAAGAGATAATTCAGGAGGAAAATGCATAAAGAAACACTAAATGTTAACATGAATGAAGTTCAGCCCCATGAGTAACAAGCGATGTGAAGATTAGAATGCACCCATTAGATTGGCCAAAATTTTTACTACACCAACTCTTTTAGAATATGGCCAGAATGTAGAAAACTTCATTCACTTCTGGTGAGAGAGTGAATTGCTCAAATGACTTAGGAGTGTATTGTGTTGATATGTAGCAGTATTGAAGATATTGCTGTATCCCAACTGATACAGATGTATTCTGTATAAAGTCTCTTAAATCAGTATCCAAGAAGACAAGTAAAGGGAAATTCATTGCATCATGATTTATAATAGGAAGTTTGAAACAGCCTAAATGTCCAGAGACAGGAGAATGCTTTTGGCATATTCAAGTAATAAAATGATATTTTAAGTAGAAAAGTGGAAAACTATTATGCATTGACATGGATGAATCGCCATAAAGCTCCTGAAAGAAAAAAATAAAAAACAACTCTTAAGATGGTATGTGCATTCCTAAACAAAAAGTCCTTAAATGTAAATCTTAAGAATGTGGAAAATAATAGTAATAGACTGAATCACATAGTATGGCAGTGTTCATAGGTGGAAAACAAGTGACCATCAGTGTGTCTATTAAGGTCAGTGTAACATTCATGGATACGTTGGTGATCATGAGGAATGTAGAATTCAGTATGGCATTTTCTGGGGACCAGTGGTGAAGAAGGAATGGTATGGATTCAAGGCAGGTATGCGGAGGAGCTTCTGCTTTAGTTGTCATATTTTTCTTCAAAAAGATTTGAAGAAAATATGGCAAATATTAAACTTACTAAAGCAGGGTGGTGGTTATATGGGTATACTTCTTCTGTGTTTTTAGTTGAAAATGCTTGATTTTTTAAAAAGCAAACCAAAGTGTTGTTAGAGGCATAAAAATTTTAATCTCACGACATTATAAAGAAATATTTACAAAATGATTAAATCCTTGCTGCTTACTTAGCTGAACATAGCACTCCTGAGGCTTTTAGTATAACATAAAAAATTGAAAAGCATCTCTCTTCACACACCAGTCAAAAACTTTAAATTTTATTTTGTTCTTTTAACATTGGTAAGATCATCTTCATAAAAACCATTCATTGGTGCCTCTCTTTTGCTTGCTCTTGTTTGGTGGTGGTCAGATTCATTCATCTGCCATATAATATGAAATCTGATGATGATAATTCAGTTTTATTTTTTTCTCCTTTTTTTCCTTATTCCTTTATTGCCAACAGGAATCTGCAAGCAGAATATGATCGTCTGAAGCAGCAGCATGAACACAAAGGCCTGTCCCCACTGCCGTCCCCTCCAGAAATGATGCCCACTTCTCCCCAGAGTCCTCGGGATGCTGAACTCATTGCTGAGGCCAAGCTACTGCGTCAACACAAAGGCCGCCTGGAAGCCAGGATGCAAATCCTGGAAGACCATAATAAACAGCTGGAGTCACAGTTACATAGGCTAAGGCAGCTGCTAGAGCAAGTGAGAGCTACATCTCTCTAACGTGGGGTATTTACAAACATTAGTGGTCCTTTCCTCAGCAGTACTAACAGAATTCAGAGTTCTTCTTATAAGTGCACATCAGTTCTTACATGCTTAGAGTGTACCTAGCAAAGTACTAGATGTTATTTCTTGCCTTTCATTTTCTTGAGACAGGGTCTACAATGACTTATGCAGGCTGGGGTCAAATTTGAAATCCTCTTGCTTCAACTTCCCAGAGTGCTGAGCTTAAAGATGTGCTCACCATATCCAGCCAAAAATGAGTTTTTAAGAAAGAAACTTGTATTTAAAAAAACAACACTGGTAATTGAATTCAGAGGCTCATGCATGCTAGGCAAGTGCTCTATCCCTGAGCTATACCCCTTAGTCCTGTCAAAATGTGTTTCTTTTGACCAATATGGAATGTATTCTGGAGGGAATAAAAAGACCAGAAGGTTTCCACTAGTTCTCAGTAAGTGAAAATTTGACCTTTTGAAATGGATTGAAATTCTCTTTCCTCATTTTTGGGTTTTTTTTTCCTTCTCTACCATTTTTAAGCCTCTATTTAGAACTTAGCAAGGTATTAGCATAGTAACAGTCCCTACCCAGGTATCTTCCTTGCTTTTCAGGAATTTTAAATTTTGAAGTATGTTTTCTCTATCATGTTACTTAGTATTTCCCAAAAGTATGAATTCTCCATTATATTTTGGAGATCTTATTTGGCCTCATCATTCTTGCATGGCCTTTGAAATCTTTTTTAGGAGGTACCGGGGATCGAACTCGCGACCTCATGCTTCCCAGGCAGGCGTGCTTATACAGTGAGCTAAATCTCTAGACCAGCCTTTGAAATCTTTCAGTGTTTTAGTTTAATGATTTATATTTCTTGTCCCATTGTAGCTCTAAATTTTTCTCCTTTTTACAAAGGAACATAATTCAGATACAAAAACAATATTATGGATTACGTGAAATATCCTAAGTCCAATAATCTTTGGGAGGTTTTTATTCAGGGAGGGTCAAAATTTTCTTAATCATGAGTGTCTATATTTTTACTTTATAGATTTGTTTGAATGTTTACAACAAAAAATAATTCTATTTTCTTTGGCTGCCTTAGCCCCAGGCAGAGGCCAAGGTGAATGGCACCACGGTGTCCTCTCCTTCTACTTCTCTACAGAGGTCAGACAGCAGTCAGCCTATGCTTCTTCGAGTGGTTGGCAGTCAAACTTCAGAATCTATGGGTAAGTGACTTAGCTACTCCCAGATTTCTTCTCTTAAGATCTGAAAAAGCTAGGGATGGTGGGTGGCACATAGCCATAATACCAGAACTCTGAGACTCTGGGAAGCTGAGGCAGAAGAACTACAAGTCCGAGCCTACCCTAAGCAACTTAGTAACTGAGTGGGACCAACATCTCCAAATACACACACACACACACACACACACACACACACACACACACATATAGTGAGTGGTACCTTGGTTGATGAACTTAATTCATTTCATGATTCTAGGGAATTTAATTTGTTTCATGATTCATGATGGCCACATTGCTGTTAGTTCTGGAAAGATGGTTATGGTTTTGTTCATTACCCGATGGATGCAGAGTTCAGAGATAGAAGCAAAATTTTGTGAACTCTTCTGTTTGCAACCAAATTGTTCACAGAGATGTTGATGAACTGAGGGGTGTGTGTGTGTGTGTGTGTGTGTGTGTGTGTGTGTGAGAATGAATGAATGAATGAATGAATAAGGAGGACTGGAGGTGTAGCTCAGTACAAAAGATCTAGGGATAGTGAGATGTTTGGTAGCAATTCAAATCATTTGCTAAATTATCTAATAATAATTCTCCATGAGGTATTACCTTAAATGCCTTACAAGATGCCAGCCTCTTGTTAATTCAGGATAAGACAGAATGGTGTTACAGTTCTATTTATTTTGGAAACCAGGCAAAGCTTTTGGACCAGTTGATATTTGTGAGCAGTTCCAAAAGATGAAGTAGGGACCAGACATACCCTGAAATAGAAATGGTGAACGTGAGGGTGTGGAAATGAGGAGACTGGGCAGAGGTTGGCAAATGGCCAATTGTCCAGTTAAGTAGAATGTTATGGTCCTCAAGCAGGTGATAAAAGGAAACAGGCTGCAGAGTGTCAGTATGGTGACACAAATACTGAGCAGATGTAATTGACTCATTTAGTGTCAAGGAGTGTATTAGTCACTTTCTCACTGATGCTGCAACTTAAAGGACAGTAAGTATATTTTGGCTCACATTTTTAGTTCATAGTTGGCCAACTCCAAGGCAAGGAGGCATGGTGTAAGGATCCAGCAGAGGAAAACTGCTCACATCATGGCAGCCAGGAAGCAGAGTGATGGGCGGAGCTGGGAAGGGAGAGTAATCCTCCTGTATCATGCCCCCAGTGAGCAGTCTTTTTTAAGCATATGTGGATTTGGCAAGACATCCAGATATAAAGTCATAAGAGGGAACCACTGAAAACTCACATACCAGGTGAGAAATATCTACAGAGGAACTTCAAAAGATACAACCAAGCACCTGTATCTGTCCCAATGACTTTTAACAGGTAGAAAAGTGAGTTAGGCAGTTAGAAATGCCAAAATATGTGAGTTCTGAGAACCTGCATTTGAAAGATATAGGAGGAGATGATGGTGCAAGGGAAGGAAATGAGAGGAGAGGGGTTGGAAGAAGACAATGAAATTTTTGATTATGGAGATAATGTGCCCGATGATCTGGCATGTATTCTAAACTGTGTCCAGAAAGCAGTTAAAATCCACGTCTATGCCTGGATTAAGAGAACAGTCTGGGGAAATGAGCTATTAGGATTGATTGCTGAGAGGTGTCATCTAAAAATACATAACAAGGTGCTTGGATACAGTGCCTTAGGGAAGACCTCCATTTGGATGATGGTGGGATGAGAGACTAGGATTAGGAATAGATTTACAAGGAAGATGTGATCAAAAAGTCAAATGCAGAAAGAGAGCTCAATGGAAGTGAAAATAAATTACAGCTAATTGGATAATTGTAAACACACTGAGCAAGTGAGAAAGAATTTTCAGCCAAGAGTTGGAAAATTGAAAAACTTGTGCCCTTTCAGTGAATTTACGGTCCAGGTCGTCTTAATAGTCTGCTGTCTTTCTTTAGGAAGGCTCTTGGCCTTGGATGGGCTCTATGAAACCTAAAGGTGAGGATTTAAAGGATAAATGATAAAAGGTCAAAAGGAGTAGGGTGTGTCCCAGTGGTAATGCATGATGGTGACAGGGGTTGTTAGCCAGGTGCTTATTAGTTTTTCCAGTTGTGCAAAGTAAGACAGTAGTGTTTTATGAAACTCACAGATGTTTGGCCTTTTCCTTTCATTTCTCCTTCTGCCTACGGCTGCGGGAGCATGAGTCAGATTCATCCCTTATCTTGCTTTTCTCTGAGTCTTAAACAGGTTAACTTTCTCAAAACCTTACAAAATCAAGCAAGGCAGCATGTACCTGTAGTCCTGTCTGCTCATGAGGCTGAAGCAGGAGGATCACTTGAGCACAGGATTTCATGATAACCCCTAGCAACATAGCAAGACACGATCTCAAAAAACAAAAATCACAGAAAAGAAGAGACCTGTGATTCCTTCAGCCTTCACACTGAAAAGCTCTATTGCCTGGTATAGTAGTGTGTTCTGGAATTGATTTCACATTATGATCTTCCATTGGAGTAGAGTAAAATGGCAAATGTCCTATCCCAAATTGAAAGGCAAGGTCAAAAGTGTGAATAAGTTTTATGGTGGAAGATAAGACAGTGGCTGAGAAAGTATGAAAGTTGGAGACATCATAGATGTAAATACTTTCAAGCTACTCCTACATTCAAGATGTAGCTTTCCAGTTGGCGGCCAAAGGTTGTACCTGGAGATTATTGTGGTCTTACAGGGGCGGTTCACGGGTTGTGATCAGGGTGTGAGGACTATCAGGAAGTGGTGAGGTCCTTATGGTGCAAGTAGACCAGGGTGGGAAAGATGTTGAGAAAGATGGATAAAGACCAAGAAGAGGTGAACATTTCTGAGGAAGAAAAGAAGGTAATTGAAGCAAATCTGATGACATTCAAGAATCTAAAATGGAGCCAGGTGGCATGACACATGCCTGTTATCTAAGCACTCTGGGAGACTGAGGCAGGAATATTACATGTTTGATCCCAGCCTGGGTAATTTAGTAAGAGCCTGACTCAAAGTAAAAAAAAAATAAAAATAGTATCTAGAGCAGTGAGGAGGAGGAGCATTCTCCTCTTCCCAAGAAATCAACACCTATAGGAAAGTGAGGTTCAGTTGCTTTGAGAAGAAGGTATGTCTGTGGTTATTCTCCTGACTTCAACACATCTCAGTGATTTAGGGTGATTCCTTATGTCATGTTTTCTTTTCTCCACGTAAGATTTGAATCCAGCTAATGGCCTGTTGGGACTGTAATGATAGCAGAGGCCTAAAAAATATTACATGCCTTTGGAAAATACAAATTCTGAAAATTGAGCTTCAGTAATTCTGTTGTTATTTTCTGCTTTAGGATTTTGATTTTTTTTTCTTAAGGAAAGCATGTGAAATTAAGTCACATATTTTAGCAGTGAGATTCAGAACCCTGGGTGCTTCCAAGCCTTAATTATTTAGGCTGTCAACACTGGTGAGGAGGCAGCATGTTTGTTAAGGTACCTGAATTAAAGTGCATTGCAGGTGGTGATCCTGATGTTTTATGGAACCAGGAATATTGTGGTAGAACTGAATACAGGAACAGCAGTGCTGCATTCCAGTGGCTGAGTTAAAGCTCAGAGATAACTTCCCAATATAAAATGGGTAGGCTACATTGTTAAGTTTGTTCTCTGAAAGAAAAGACTGAATTCAAAGAGGCTTTTTTCTGAACTGCATAAGCCACATTCATTTAAGAAGGAAAAGAAAAGGACTCTTTCAAAGATGCTCACAGGTGTTTAAATAAATGCAGTGTGTGTCTTTTGTGCTTTGAAAGTTTGAGATGTGATAAGGCTGGGATTTGTGGAGCCGTATTCTGGATAGAGTATGGCATCCTTTAAATATATAACCCTAATGATTTTCCTTTAAGTGCAACGTGTAAGAAGTCATAGTAGGTGATCTGTTGAGAGTATAGTCAGCACTCCGTGTCTGCAGATTCTGTATCCATAAACTCAGCTAGAAAGTGTGGAGGAGAAGAATTCATGTGTATTGAACATGTACAATTTTTTTCTTTATTATGTCCTAAATACTACAGTATAACAGCTATTTACATAGCACTTCCATTGTGTGTGAGCAGCTGTGTAGGGTTGGGTAAGTGCTTAAGGAACATAGTTAGGACTATTCACTGTTTTCTTGGGAAATAAATGAAAAAAGTCTTGGTGTTTTTTGGATGCAAAGCTTTGTTGTCACAGATATGGTTTCTGTTTTTGTCTTTTTTTTCCAATTTTTTAATGGTACTGGGAATTGAACTCAGGGCCGCAAGCACTCCAGTCAAGTGCGCTGCCACTGAGTCTCCTCTTCAGCTCCTAGATATGGTTATTAGAAGCAAGATTTAGAGCTTCCTGTTATAGCTACATAGTGTATGGTTACCCAACCTATAAATAATGATATCACACTGGGTTGATGGCCAGGGAAGTACATTGCTCCCAATCCTCGAGTCTGTCTGTCTGTGCTGGCCATCTTTTGTGCTGTACTTTGAACAACCCAGTCACACTCCCATCAGCCTCTCTAGCACTCTTCCCTCAGATGGCTGCATGGCTCATACTCACAAGTCCTTAAAGTTTTCACCCAAGTGCATCTCATTCATGAGGGCTTCCAAGACTGCCCTTTTGATAAATTCTCGGTATTCAATATCACTGACAAATCTCTGTAAGTTTCTGTTTATTTGTATAGCAGTGTGAGTTTTGTGAAGATGGGGTTTTTTCGTTGTTCATTGCTGTAATTCTAGCATCCACAGCAGTGACAGATAAATAGGGCTTTTGATCCTTTTTGTGTTTATGTGTGTAAGTGTTGGCAGTGGTACTGGGATTTGAACCTAGGGCCTTCATACCGAGCCAGCCCTTTTTTATTTTGAGACAGAGTCTCACTAAACTACTTAGGCTGGGCTCAATCTTATCATTTCCCTGCTTCCACCTTTCAGAAGGCTGGGGTTATAGGTGTGCAGCTCCACAACTGGCTGATTCATTGTTTGAATGAAAAGCAGATGTTACTGTTTCAAATTTTTTTGTTTGTTTTAATACATGTTTGTGGACCATAATAATTATATTTACCAGGGGAATTGGTACATATACATACTAGGCCTTAATCCTTTTTATTTCCCCATCTCTTCTCTCCTTATCCCTCCATACTCTTTCCATTTCCACAGGTGTTGATAAAAAGCATTAAAAACAACCTGGCCAGTATCTAATAGTGTAATGGTGTTACTTTACATTCAGGTTTCATTTTGCTGTTTTAAATTTTCCAGTATAATGTGACACAGAAAACAAGGCATTAAGCATTTTTCAGTCAGTTGATTCACCTCTACTCATGCATATAGGTGATAAATCTGATTTCAATTCTTGTAAAGAGATAGATTAAAGCCATCTTGAGAAATCTGGGGCATTTTGATAAAAGAAGAAAATAATATTTCACTTATGTATTCAAAAATATTTGAATGGGGGCTGAGGATATAGCTGACTACTAGAAGGCCCTGGGTTCAATCCTTAGTAGAAAAGAAAAAAAAAAAGGAAAGGAGAGGAAGAAGATAAAGAAGGAAAGAAGATTGATTGATTTGGGGCTGGGGATGTAACTTAGGAATAGAACACTTACCTAGCGTGTCCGAAGCACTGGGTTTAAGCACTCCCTGCCAAAATTTTAAATGGGTAAAGTTATCACTGCCATGAAAGTTTTGCATTGAAACAAGCCAATTTCACATCTGTACTTGGATTACTTCTATTTGAAACTCACCGATGATAGCTTATCTATGAAGGTGAACTTGGCTGACATCATTAGATTTATACTTTATAATTTGATCCTTGAAATAATTCAAGGACAAGAATGCCAGTCACATCACTGAACTGTACCTGAATCATAGCACAGTGCAATTGAGTTCCTAAAGCTCCAAAACGATGTAATTAAACTGTCAGAAATATTAACACTGATACTCATGAGAGTCTCTGTTGGTTCTGATTTATTCTGTAAGACCTACTGTCACTAAAGTGGACTTTCTGCCATTAAAAAGCCTCATGTTTCCCAATTAAGCACAAATTTGCATCAGCAATGTAACAAAGAAATGCAATTGGTTCTGCAGTTGTCAGGATTCTGTTTCTCCTTGTAGTATTTCATTCATTTCCATCCTGAGCAGCTAATGGTCATTTTAAAAAAACTACAAGAGAAAAAATAAAGAAACTAAAAATACTGAATGCTATTTTCTTTTCTAAAGGCGTAAACTTAAACAAAGGTGAATGAGTGTGTGTATGTGTGTGTGTATAAAGACAGAGAATCTTCCTTTTTAACTTCACAACCTTAATTATTCAGCATGCCTTCCCTGTACTTAGTATTTCAAAGAGGCTTTCTATGGTATGTTACTATGAGACTCACAGAATTAGAGGCTTTTCATCTACCCCAGATTCTTAACCCTCTATTCTAATAATGATATGCAGCCTCACATCCACGTAGGATATGATTTTATCTTATCTACTATTGGCAGTGACTCTTGTAACTTGGTGCTGTTCAAAATATATGAATAAAAACATAGGAACAAATGCAAGTTTATAATCATAGATGAAAACCCAGGTGGTGTAGACCAAAGGAAAGGATAAGAATGTGTAAGTCAATCACTGGTTCTACAGTGATTTTTCTATTCTGACGTGAACCTGAGGTTGTCCTTAAGCATGGTCATTATTGCTGACTTGTTTCAGATGGATGTGGCAGTATACGGAACAAGTAGAGCTCAGAAAGAAGTGATTTTCATTACTAGAGGGTTGGCTATTATGAAAAATCAGTTTCAAAGAGCCTTTAAAATTAAATTAATTTGAAATTTCCCCCTGAACTGCAAATGCTGTTTGAGATATATTTCTTTAACACATGACTAATCAATAACGATACCAATGCACAAAATCTACACGGAGACTCCATTCCCAACAAAGACCATCTATTCTTACTGACTCCTCTACTTGTCCCATATAAACAAATCCTCCAAAATTGAAAAAAACTTCCCCAAATAAAATGTTTCAGTCCTAAGTAACAAAGAAGAAAAGGACATTACTCACTGCTTAGTGTACCCTGCATCTGCTGTCTTTAGTATGATAATACTTAGGTATCTATTCAGATCACATACCACTTTTATTTCTCTTGCATTGAATTTTATAAGTACTTGGGTGTTGTTTGCATTTGTGGTTAAATGTCAAAGGAAAGTGTGGAAAAAAATATCTTAGTGTCTCCACTTCCTTTTTACCTTCATGGAAGTAAATAAAATGTCACGGTTTCATGTTCTTTTGTGTTATTTAATTATAAAGGACAGTTTCACATTTGTTACAGGGTCTTAAGAAAAGAGAGTTTGTCAGCTTCACCTTAACTTCTAAATAGATACTCAGGTTCCTTCTCCAAAACTAATGATACAGATAAATTATTTCATGACATTTTTCACTTTAAAGAATTGTTCTCTGATTATGAAGCTGGAGGATTTTTGTTATTTATGAACAAGTCAAGTGAATTTATGATAGTTTTAAAATGTGATCCTGACGCATTTGTCAAGGGCTTCAGGGTTTTGCCGACGTGTAATTTGCTGCTGTTTTCTTTTGTATTTATTAAGGCGAGGAAGATCTTCTCAGCCCTCCCCAGGACACAAGCACAGGGTTAGAGGAAGTGATGGAGCAACTCAACAACTCCTTCCCCAGTTCAAGAGGTAAGTCCCAGTACTTAACAGGGACTCGGGCTTGCTGGAATTAGGTTGCTCACTGCCACACCCAACTGTCATGCTGACAATGTCAATTTCTGTCTGTGGTGAAAAGATTTTTTTTAGTGTGAATTTCCAATTTGTAGTATTCTGCATTCAAATACCTGCCTAATCAAAATGCTTCTAGAAGTAAGAATTATATGTTATATTTCCAAACATTTTACTTCTTTCAGTCACTGGTCTTCTTAAGAATTAATTATGAAAAACCTTTCACTTAAAAGCAATTCTTATGTGACTTTTACACACTGAAAAATGCCTTTGCCAAGGCCATATGCCATTGTGTAGTATGATGAGGCCTTGAACATCACCTAAGAAGTGGTAGAGGGTGAATTCTAACTTGCACTGTGATCCTTATTTAAAATTGTGTCAAGCCACTTATGGTGGCACACACTTGCAATCCTGGCACTCTGGAAGGCTAGGCAGAAAGATCACAAGTTCGAGCCCAGGCTGAGAGACTTAGTGAGACCCTGTCTTAAAGTTTAAAAAAAATGTTTTAATGGGGTCTGGGGATGTTGCTCAGAGCGGAGGTCCTGGGTTCAATCTTCAGTATCACAAAGTATCATATCCCATTATGTAAATAGAGAATGTTGTCCTCATAGATCTGTTTATTTTTTTTTCTCTTCCATAGTTGGAATACAGGCATTGCAAAGAAAGATATTAATACTATGTTTCTTTGCTCCATCAATTTGACCTTGTGTTTTTTGACTTTCATACAAAAGCAGCATTTTGGCCCACAAAATTCTCCAACTAGCTTGCATGAGCTTCAGATGTATAGTTTTGTCTTAGGAGATATTTTGCGGTTTCTATTAGTTTCTGGAGACATTTATTTTGGCTTGTTGTTTACATAAAACAAAATCACTGACCAACCTCTCTTTGATGAAAAAAAAAAGAATGGTAGAAGTCACCTGTGAGCAAATAGAAGGCAAGCCTAGAAAAGCAGAGAGGAGAAGCCACAAGGCTTTGTGGCCAGTGATTGGCACCCCTAATGGGCAGCCTGGGAGGGAAGGGCAGCCAAAAATCTGCACTATGTGTTCTTCTCCATAAGGCAATGAAGAGGGTGTTTTGAGTAGTGTGTTTTTGTTCAGTGTCAGTTAACAATGGCCATTTCCTAGCCATCTGATGTGCGTGTGAACGTTGTGCAGTGCACATTAAAAGCAATAATGTTCTGGTACAGCGTTGCTAAGGAACTGTCAGGGGAGGCTAATTTTAAATGTCTGCACCAGCCGTCTTTTCACTGCTAAGCACCACTGATGTGTTGATTTTAATAGATGAAAACCTTATTTGTCTTCCACTCACCCCCACGCTTCCCACCTGCCAGCCTCCTCCCCAACCTGGCCATGTTAGCTATCTCCTCTCTTCCTGGATCTCATCATTCATAAGAAGATTGTACACAGGCTTGGTCAACATCAAATGCTTTCACCTTTATTCTTGTTAGATTGTCCTGTCAGCTTTTACTAGTATCTATAGTATCAGAAAAAGTACTAGGGATGTCCAGAAGCAATGGAAGTTTCTTGCCTTCAAAGAACTTAGAGTCCATCATGGACACACAATTCTGAAGAAATTCACATCACAGTGGGATGGTATGGTCACTGTTATTTGACATATTTACTATGAATGAGTCCCGGAAGCTTGTTGACCGTTAATTAGGAAGGGAACAACCTCAGGTAGAAGTTTCTTTTTCAAGAATCCATGGCTGGTTGGGGCCAGAACTTCTGTCTCCACCGTCTAGTACACATTTCATTAACCACAAGATTTTCCTTGTAGTCATAGGCATGTCTTATTTCAGCCCTTTGAACTGGTGGTTTGTGTACCCATTCTGTGGGGAGTTGATAGCTACTCAGCTGGTGCCCAGGGCATTTCTTTTACTTGTAGACAACAAGAGTATAAGGAACAAGATACAACAGAAAAGGCTCCTGGCTCCTTCCCAGTGGTACCTGGCTTTCCTTTTTTGTACCTTAATTAGCTTTGAATGAAATCCTTTGTTCCATATCCCTGCATTCCACTTTTAGAGTCCTTAAAACAAGACTGGGTATGGATGAAGCCTCCTACAAGAAAAGAAAGATACTTCCTCTGATATGGTATTTGCAGTAACATCTCGGATGTTGTATTTACTTGTGTGATATTGATCTGCTTGTATAAGACCTTGGGAAGCTGTCCAGGCTGCCTGGATAGTGTATACTAAATTAGTGCTTATGGAACCACAACATTCCCTAAGTGCTAATTTAAGCTCTCAAACATGGGCTAAGGAAGCTAGTCTGATATCAATTCTATTGACTAAGTTCATTCTGTGTACTCAGTCATTCCCTAGTGGCCTGAAAAAAATTAATTCATATTCTTGGAAAACAAAAGCATAGAACAAGAGGATAGCTAAGTGTTGGAGGATTTGGCTAGTCTTTCTGTGATGTTATGACCTTGACTTTTTGTTTCTTTTGCTGTTTCCTGCTATGTTAGGAATTGTTACAGGCCTTTTTCTCCCAAAATTCAAATGGATGAAAAGGTTCATCATTGTAATACTTGATTCATTATTAATGTAATCTCAAAAGTGTTTTGGGGTGCCTCGTTTATAACTAAACCCATACATATACATATGTATTCTTTTCTCCATGTGTTTATGAGAGACAGAGAGAAGGGCACAGACAGATGGTTGGGTTAGATAAGAATATCTTACCAGTTGGTAGGTATGTTAGGCTGATATTAAGCAAAATTTCCTGAGAGTCTTAAAATCTTCACATCACAGACTTCACAGATTTTCCCAAATGAAAGAGCCTTGAAAGGCCATCTAACTATCTTTGACATTTAAAACAGTGGCCATTGGGCTGCTTAGACCATTATCTAGATAATAGAAACATTTTTCACAAACTGCAGTAAAGATACAAAGGAAATTATGTATGTGTATAGACACACGTACATACAGAGATCAGAAACAAAGGTCTTATGAAGCAGTCCCTTTTTATAAAACACATAATGCATGTTGTTTCTGTTTATTTAAAAATAAAATACTGGTTACAGCCCATTACACAATTTTATGATTCAGCAGTTTAAGAAAACAAAAGTTACTTCTATAATTTCTGTTTTCCATGCTCAGGTGAGCATCTTCATAAAAAATTAAATTATGATAGTTTTACTGTGAAAGTTTCTTCCAATAAGAGGCTAATGTCTTGGTGAACTTGGTTGTTTTATTCAGACTCTTCCATCTATCTATGTCCCTATTGTTGCATTGAAAAAAAAATAAAAATGAACTTTGTAGTTGCTACAGCTGTTTGAGACAGCTGTTTGAGTAACTCAAAACAGATGTCAGAGCCAGAGGTCTGACATTTAGTGGAAATGTGCTATTAAATACCACCTCATGGTTTATTTAACCGTACTAGTTAATTGCCCACAGAGGAAAGGCCTGTTTTTGAAAAAAAAAATATTTTTCATAATTATATAAAGTACATAGATAGGTGAGCTGTGTACTTTAAATTTACACCTTCTTTGTTGCCCTATGCTACAGCTTTGATTTAGAGTTGGGCCTTCCAGATATTAGCTAATCTTTGATTTTCACAAAGAGTATCTAGAAACTCAAATAAGTTAAGTTTCTTGTTCATGGCTATTCAGCAAGTTAAATTAGGCATTTGATCATATCTCAGTGGCCCCACTAAACTGCTATCCACCTTAATAAAGGGTAGCATTGCCTCTCCATTTAGTGAAGTGATAAACCCATGGCTAGCACCATCCTGTATAATAGCCAGAATAAACTGAAGTGTGTTCAAGGTGTGAACGTGTGCACATGTAGCTTTGCAATTATATCTTTCCTGATTAGTCTCTAGATAGTTCCTAACCACTTGAAGGATTTCAATGGCTCAATATATATTTAAACAAAGAACATTAGCCAATTTTGATCTAATCTATCTAATTGTACTCTGTCTCCTTGTCTGTAAGTATATGTAACAATTGAATACCAGTAAAATAAAAGCCATTATCTATTCTAATACATTTTCTAAACCTCCACCATTATTCTATAGGAACACTATCTAGGTAAGCCAAACAAAGCAAGTAATTTAAAAATAACCCTATAAACAATTTGTCCATAAATCTCTGGTCATTTAGCGGTCTAAAGATGTATTTTATATGTACAGTAAGTATACTGATAAGGGAAACACTTTCCTGTGGTATTGGGCTCTCTAAAATGAGGTAGAGATTAATGAATGACAGGATCCAAGATAAGCTTTTGGTGCAGTGAGACAAGAACACAGCACCGCTGTGTGGGCTTCCTGCTGCCTTACGGTTCTTGCCTACTGGCCTGTGCCACATAATTTTTAGCCCCAACAGCCCATGCTGTCCTGTCCCTCTCATACCACCTCTGCCCAAATAAGCTCACATACATTCTTTCAAGTGCCCCGAAATTACCAACTCAACAGCTCTGTAAAACTGTTGTCTTTCAAATTCCAATCTTGTTCCATGGGTCTTTTGTGAAAAAGCAAGATAAAGAACAAAGGCAGGAATAGGGGTATAGTTCAGTAGTACAGTACGTGCTTTGTGTGCACGAGGGTCTGGTTTCCATCTGCAACAACTGCCCCCTACACACATACACACACACACACACACACTACAAAGACAGACTCACGTTTCTCTTTTTCAGGCACCGTTCTGGTTTTTGCCTGTTAACTAAAGAGTTGACCAATTTTCCCTTTACCCCAGGGACCAGCAGTCTATAACTCCTCAGCCAAATCTGGCCCACTATCTGCTTTTAGAAATAAAATTGTATTGGAACACAGCCACACCCATTCATGTTGTCTATGGTTGCTTTCTCAGTATGAAAGTGGAGTAAGAAGTAGCAGAATTATATAGCTGCTACAGAGACTTTGTGGCTTGCAAACCCTAAAATATTTACAGGGAAAATTTGCCGGTCTCTGCTTTACACTACTATTTTCTGTCCATTCTGACTCATTACATGAATACAGCCATAG